GATTGAGATATAGACCGGCTGAAAACTTCATTCCAAAGTCTCTCTGCTTTGTAGCACAGTATGTGGGACTTTGATTGTTCTAGAACTTTGTTACTCAGTATAATTACAATATAGAGAATTCTCTGTTCTCTCAGCCTTTTGACATTTGCATAACTTTTTGTCTTTTTTTTTTTTTAAGACTTGTGTTGTGACTAAAAATGTTTTTAGGACTTCTTTTGTGAAAAAAGAGTTCTGTTGTGAAAAAGGATAGTCTTTTTATTCTCAACAGACTCTCACCTACCAGTCTAACATTCCATCCAAAGATACTTACTGCATTTCAGTTCCCTAAAATTATGTCTGTAATTATATACCTTGAAGCCATTACTTTTGGCCACTTAAAAGTTACTAAAGGGAGTGTTAGCCTCCCTTTGGGAAAACACAGCAACTTCTTGTGATCTAAATTTGGGACTGATAAAGTACCTTGCTGCTTTTCTCTCTCCCCCTTTTTTTTTCCCTTTCCCCTGAACCTCTGCAGTTCTGCCCTTTCAGTTTCTCTCGTTAACATTTTCTGTGAGTAAATTTCACTGTGTTTAAGGCTTATTTTTTTACAATACTCCATGAGAATAAAGTGATCTTTGCCCCTACAATAGGAAGGAAGTTGGGGTGCGGTTTAGATGGTGACTTCAGACAATGTACCATTAGACCTTAAAATTGTCACTTCCATGAAGACCAGTCAAATTATATATCTTAAAGAGTACTGAGTGTAGTCAATACAGGAAAGATTTTTTTCTTCATGTTTTAAGCATGAAGATAGACTCATATGTCCTACTTGATTTAAGTTTTGGATTAATTTTGAAATTATGTAGTACGGCTTCATTGTCATCATTAAGTTGTACTTTTTCTTGCATACATTTGAATTTCTAGAACAGGGTCTATCACTTTAAAATTATTTATACATAGATATCACTCATTAAATAACCAAGAATTTTACTAATTACTACAGGTTTTATCACTATCAAAAACCTTGAATGCATATTATATGAAACATTGTCCTATGTGCATAGAATTTCATCTCGGATCATGGCTATTTTTTTTCCTTCTGTAATATATAATGCATATAAACACTAGTAATTTAATCAACGTGTCTATATTGGGAAGAATTATGACACAATTTAAGTTTGTGGCATTTATGATTTTGCTGTATATGATATGAATAAAAAATGGCTTTTTCCAGATTTGTACTTAATTTGTATACTTAGTCATGCATTTAATTGTATTGACAAATACAGTATTCTGTAAACTATCCTGACATTGCAAAGTTTGTAAAAAGCTATGCAAAACACTCGACCATAAATGTAAAGAGTATGAACTACTTGGAACAGACATTCACCATACATGGCTAATTCACAGCTGTGAATCTCTATATACCTTTTCCCATGCACATGACCTGGATTAGTTGTTAATAGTATTTTGGACGGCATTTACTTCAGCAGTTAACTAGGGAATCTTTTATTAACTTTTGCTCTATCAGTACAGATTTGAGTGGGTAGACTGTCTTCAGGTGTCCTGTGTTGAATAAAAATAGCACTCCTCTCCAGCCTCAACTCCAGTTTAGGCATCATTGCTGTGATCAGAGAGAAGCAACAAATCATTCACTTCTTGCATGATGATCATAGCTGATAACAGGTGGCTTGCTGACTAGATTTAGTGGTGCATCCATGTCATTGTAAACACAGTGTGTCTTTGGGACTATTTTTTATTCCTTCCTGCATCTGTCACAATCTGTTAGGGTTTGGGACACTGGAAACCCCCAGGCTTTTCCTTGACAGATGAATAGTAGCATACTCTGTACAGTGAGACATTCTTTTCTCTGCCAGATGTAATAGAATTCTATTTTTCCAAGAACTACTACATCAGAATCAATATACCATACCAAGCCCATGTCTCTTCTGCAAATAACACAGCACACAATATTCTAGTATACTAGCTTCTTTGTGGCTGTGAGGTTAGACTCCCAGAGAGTTATTTTTTTCATTGATTGTAGCTACATCTGTCTTGTCTGGTTGCTTAATGTTTTTTCTGTATAACATTTCATTATATGAAAAGAACTGTGTCTTATCGCTTTTACAAATAAATGTTTGCTGGTTACCCTTATCTATTGATAAGGGATTTTTAATTGTTTCCAAATTCCCAGTCACAATATATTCAGAGAAATCTGATTTATAAGCACTATTATGTCTAAATACTTTGGTTGTTTTTTTTTAACTTATTTAACCTTGTTTCATGTGTAATCTCTAGAAACGTATGACATCTGGTATGGGGTCTTTGACAGCAGCTACTCCTTTAAGAACCACAGCACTGACATTGAGTGGATTCAGTGTTCAGTGCAAAATCCACTTCAGAATAAAATTGACTTTATAAGTTTTGCTTGTTATAGAAGGAGAGAGAAATGCTGACTCCCGTGTGACAAAAGAACTTTAAGTTACATTCCTTATTTTAACAAGCAATGAACAATCATTGGAGGGGTTTTTAAGAAGGTTTATTTGCTATGTCTCCTTTGACTTAGCTTTTTGAAGAACCAAATTGCTTTGCACAATGATTCTCTCAATTTGGGATTCTTTTCATCACAAGTGTATTGAGAGATGCATAGATATATTGGTCCATATCAGATCAGCACCAATAAAAGGAAAATTAACAATATCAGCAATCTGCTTTATTTGGCTGGTATAGCCAATAATGTCACTGATAAATGCTGTGTGTATGCGCACAGCTGCAGCATGTATGTGGCCAGGAATGGGGCAGGAACAGGTGCCGCCCAGGGTGGGGGAGGGAAGGGAAGGGATGGCTCTCCGCCACTGTGCTCACCCCCTGGGGTGTAGGGCAAGCGTGGGCTTGGGGCCAGGGCCAGTACCAGTATCTTCCTGGTGAGGGTGCTGGGCTGGGACTGTGCTTCAGGGTGGGCGGTGGTAGCTTTGGGGGGTGGCTGTGGGCTGGGTTACAGCCAGCCCCAAATTCTCTGTAGCCATCCCTCCCAGCGCTGCAGCTACCTGCCCTGCCTGAGCACAGCTCCGGTCCAACCCTGCCTGCTGGGAAGAGCCTGGCACAGCCCCTGGCCCTGAGCCTGCAGCAGGCAGCCCCCCTTGTCCTGCACACAAATCTGGGGGGTGGAGGGTCACATGCCCCCCATACCTCCCCCTGGGGTGTGCACATGCCCCACCCCAGCTGGGCAGGGCCTGCCCCAGCCTCAGCCCCAACTCCCTCCTTCGCCACAGGGCCCTCAATTTGCATCCCTATGCCCCTTCCCCCTGCAGACCTCCCGGCCTGATGATGCTGCTTTCCAAGCTTCTGGGCTGCATATCAGCTATCAGAGTGGTATTGGCTGATACGGCTGGTTAATAAATGGTTATCAGTAATGGCCAAAAAAGTATTTAGCAGTGCACCCCTAATTGTATTGTCTGGCTAACCTTAGATTTTCTATGGACTTCTCTTTCCACATATATCCAGTATCAAGCACAACTAAAGAACCTGGGAAATCATCCTTAGAAGTGTTTCATCCATAGATTAAAATGTTACTGAAGAATATGGATTATTTAATGAGAACATATTTTCACAACATTGCTTAAGTGCTGTGGTCTGCCATGATTTCAATTAAATTTAGTTTTGCATGATAAAACCTGGTCCATGTATCATTCAATTTCTGCATAAACCACACCTCTGTATGTCATTTTGGTTCCATAAGGCATCATTTCAGAATGGCTGTACATCCCATGTAACTGGCCATGTGTCTCTTATGTTTTTAACATTAGACTTTCAGATCAGTCCTTTTCTGTCACATGCACTGACTCCACTATGTTTGTTTACCTAAAACAACCTTTTTGTACTCAAGGAACCCCTCCATAACTTTTGTGACTTAAGTGGCACCCAATTTAAAAAACTAATTTTATATACACAGTGCTTACCTCCTTACAGAGGAGCCAGGCAGTGGAGGAGGGATCAGCCAGGCTGGGATAAGCCTGTGCTTATCTCTTCACACACCTCTCATCTCCTCCCATCTAGAGGCACCCTTCAAACAATCTGATGACATCCCAGAATGCCAGGAAACCCTGGCTGAGAACAACTCTTGTAAATAGATCAAAAGTATATTGAACTACCTAAGCTTTTAATTACCTTTCACAATTAAGTTTCAAACCCTCTCCAAAAGATCATTCTTTTCATGTGGGGATTGCAGTCTAGTAAATGTTCAAATGCCAGAAATGGAACTCCTTTTACAAGCCTAAAAATGGCTGTAATAGTATGCCAAAGATGAACTTGTGTTAACTACATTTGTCGGCCTTCCACTCTTAAAGTTCAGTACAGATATGCCAAACTTTATGCCCTATGGTTAGCCTTAATATTAAATGCAGAATTTGGGGTTGGAATTCAATAATCTTTTATTAAATTAAAACTAATTTTCTGTGTGGGAGAGCACTGCTTGCTAAACTTCTAATAAATGGACAGAGACCATTTGAAAAAGAAATACACTCTAGTCGCTGGTAACTGAAGTTTTGAGATGTACCTGTCTTCATGCATATATGTTAACCAGCTACTTGTCCTTTCTCCTCAGAATCCTCTCTCTCTGCTGGGCTATGTAGTTTTCATTATAAAAAAAAAAAAAAAAAAAAAGAAAGCTGTTGGAATGGTGTAGTCTCCCTGTCCCTCTATACAGTAACCTTCAGCACATTAGGAGCTGTAAGAGGCAGGCAGGTGCCATAACAGAAAATGTTTCTAAAAAAAATTGAACACAATACTGTTTTTTTATATATATTATGACTAAATAGTGATAGTACAACAATTTAAATAAAAGAAAGTGGATACAGAACCAAAATAAGTCAATTTATCTTGAGTCCTTTGGACCAGAACTACATAAAGTCTATATAACTAATAGGTCTGATCCATTCATGTTTTCAGTATATACTGTTGCAAAACATTCTTGTGTAGTCGGCTAGTATGATTCACTTCCTATTTCTTTGCTACTTTCCCAGAAAGCATAACATTTGAATAATAGCCATCCCCAGAGTCTGACATTGCAATGGCCTCAGCTGTACTCAGTTCAGTTCCCACCACTGCCTCCCGTTTTGCTCTGTTACAAGTGGATAGTGATTCTGATTCGGAGTCTGGAAAGGGAAGAGGTGGTCGAGGTGCTGGGAAGTCTCAAGCTTCAGGGGCAAAACCGGCTACAAACGAGAAGAAGAAAGAGAAGAGGAGAAAAAAGAAGGAACAGCAACAGAGTGAAGCTAATGAGGTAGAGAGGCTACTATTTTTTCCGTAATGTACAAGATTGTCCTGTTATCTGAATATTATGGATGTTTTTGTTGCACTTATATTTTTGTAAAATAAATTCAGTGTATAGTTATTAGAAGATAGTATTTGAGGTTTTTCTCAAAACTTGTCAGTGTTCTCAATTCCAAAAGCATTTTCCCTTTTTGTCTAGAAAACCTCAATTATGTGGAAAAATCAGTTAATAATCTTAGGCTCATATTAAAATGAAAATTAGGTTTTTCACTTTTTTCATTTGTGATTACACCTTTTCAGCTGGAGATGTAGGAGAGAGAGAGATGCATATTTTAGGAAGCTGGAACTCGTATCTCCATAGTAGATTTAACAGAAATTTTCTTTACATCAAGAAAGGGTAGAGGCCCTGAAAGATATTGATATAATACTGGGTTATGGAAAAGACAGTGGGGCATGTGACAGGTTTTTGGGGGGTTTTTTGTATGGAGGTGTACCTGTTAAAACTCCTTTATAGGACTTGTATATTGATAGTCTTTAGGTTTAAGAAATGCCCATTATAGTAAGAGTCAACTTACATGTGAGGGGAGAAAGGGAATCTTTCTCCAGGCACACACATTTTCCTCTTCAGTTCAAAAAGTTACATATCTTGCTATGTGAGTCAAAGAATGTAAGGCATTTTTAAATGAAGGGTGCAACATGAACCATTTGGTTTAGATTTAAGGGTATAAAAAAAACCCTAACTCAGTCCCTTAATTTCTCTTCCCATGGTCTTCATTTAACATAGAGCCCATACCCTAGATTCATTGGTATAGTTTTAGTTAAGCCTTTTCACAGTAAATTTTTTTAAGTAGTTATCAAATAAGTTTTTCAAGTTTGGAAGATTTTTTTTTTTGCAATGTTATAGTTTTCTTTTATCCCTCTGTCCTGGTAACTGAAGAAAGAAGCCAGTTTTCATGAAGGACTATTTTTGTCCTGACATATTGGTTGTGAACCAATGCAGCAGTTGTCTAAGTTGTCTGAGAGAAGGATAGATGTTTAGCTAGTTTACAGGTCTTGAGAACAGCATGTCAAGGCTTTCTGAAAGTCTTTACAGTACCTTTTAGGAAGGTATTGTAGAACCAGGTTGTTAGGGCGCAGGTCACAACTATCCTACCCGATGCTAAAGAAAGATCTGGCCTGGCCAGTTCAAAAAGGTTAAATTCTTCAACCATAGGTATTGGTATACAGTTTCCTCAAGTAAAGCAGCAAGCCCTCTATGCAATCCTTGTTCTTTATTTTACCAGGAAAAAAACCAGAGGTGAGCAATGATCCTTGACTACAGACCATTTCTTTGCCTGACAAATAGGGGCCAAAACCCTTCCTTAACATATGGTGGCTAGAACTAAAAGTGCAAGACTTGGAAGCCTAAAATTGCTGCTTCAGTTATGGCAGTTCCTTATCAGTCCCTTCATGTATTTTCTTGAGGCATCTCTTCATCAAGAAGTTTCAGGGAGAGAGAGTTAGACCATACATACCATATTTTCTCTCACAGAACACATGCTTCCCCTAAAAAACCGCTGTTGGAAATTGGTGTGCGCATTATATGCAAGGAACACAGTAAGAGCAGGTTGTGCCACTTACTAACTGCAACAGAAAGTAAAATCTGCAGAGATCCGTACGGAACAGAATAATGAGTAGGCTCTGCTCCTTAGCTGCTGCTACTCAGTTTCTGCAAGGGAGCAGGGGTGGTGGGGGTGGACAACACGTGTCTGTATGTGCTACTAATTGGCATTAATTAATTCCTGGGAGCATGTCTACACATGCTCCCTGTTGGAAGGAGCCCAGTACAGGCTGTTTCGGCCCTGCTCTGCCCCCCTGCAACAGCTCCCCTGGGTGCTAGCCCGGGGGATGGCAAGGGGCACACGGCTCATCCCAAGGCGCACAGCACTAGGAGAACTGCCAGCTGCAGCAACAATTATCTCCTGGCCCCTTGCACATCAGGAGGGGACCAGATGTGTGCTGGGCTTGGAGACGGCTGTCTCTGCAGCAGGCAAAACTCTCCTGGCCACACAGTTGCCAGTGAGTCCCCTGCTGGGCGGGACTCCCCTGCCCAGTGGAACCTGTCCTGGGTGTGAGGCAGCTTCCAGCAAGCCTGGGAGGGGAGGGCATGATGGCAGCTACCCTGCTTGATGTGGAGCTGGCTGCTCTGCGAGGTAGGCAGGGACTGGGAAGCCAGCCCCCTCCCACCTGCCCCCCCCAGTGCAGCCATCTTTGTGCCATGCAGAGGTGCCCTGGGGGGCAGACAGGGGCTGGGTTTCCAGCTTCCCATTGCCCCCAGGAGCAGCCATCCAGCATTAGGATCCGGGAGGGATGGAGCAGAGAGGTCTCCAGTCCCAGTGCTAATTGGCTCCTGGTTTCCTGGGAGAGCTGGAAACTGAGCAGCAACAGGACCAGGGACAGAGAGTTTGCTTTCTCCGGCTGCCTAGGCTGACTAGGAGCAATGTCTACAGGAGTGCTATTGTGCAGTAACAGGTACTAGCTGTATTTACAAGTACAAGCTAACTGTGCAGTAGCCTAATTTACTGCCCGGTAAATGCCCCGCACATGTAGATAGTGATACCTGTACTGCACAGTAGATTAGTCTGCTGTGCAGTAAAGCATCTCACGTAGGTGCACCCTGAATGATCTTTTTTCCTTCATTCTGCCTTTCAAAAACAAGGTGTATATTCCAGAGCATATTTTTGTGTGAGAAGATATGATATTTACAGTCAAATTGAAAAGGCAGGACAACTTATCTAATTTTTACATTTTGACAGTTATTTGTAACAGTACTAGATAAAATTTCAGATGCGTGACTTTTAAAATGGTGTGGTTCCTTTAATGTTGCACAAACAGCTTTACAAGTATTTCCTTACCGATGTTCCTCCCCATGCTGCTCACTTGAACAAGATAGCATTCACTTTTATATTAGTTAAAACAGGGGTGGGCAAAATACGACCCATGAACCAGATCTGTCATGCAAGGCACTTTTATTCAGTCCGTGGACACCCACCAATTAATTGTATACTGCCCAACCCTTCCTCCCACAAGGGGGAGAGCAAGGGGCCCACAAATACACCCCTCTTAACATACCGTATTGTGCCTTGCTCCCACCCTTGTGGGCAGAAGGGCCCAGCCCAGCCAGCAAGCAGCTTCTGGGCACGGCTGCTGCTACTGCTGCTGCAATGGCCGGGGGACCTGCTAAGCTTCCTTGACGTCCTGCTTGAGCCAGGCACCAGGTAAGGAAGTGGTGGGGGAGGGGGAGCTGCAGCTGTGCGGGTCCAGTGAGTATGGGGCTGGGGCTGGTGGCAGTGTGGAGCTTGCGCCCAGCGGGGAGGTGGGAGGGCAGAGCTCAGGTGGGCAGGATGTGGATGTGAGGGATCAGGGCAGGGTGTGAGGACTCCCTACATCCTCCCACCCATGGAGCACAGCTCCCACCGGCAGCAGTAGGAACACCAGCAGGTGGTGGGCGCTTGTGCCCAGCACAGGCTCTAGCACCTAGTGGCATGTGGTTCTAGCCAGCACAGCACGCGGGAGTGAGAAATGCAGCCTGGCTGGCCCGCCTCTATTGCGAGGGCTCCTCATGGCTCATGTGCAGCTTCTGGTACTCGAGTATCCCTGGGGAAGCCCCACATGCTGAAGCCAGCTGCCTTCCCCGCCCCCTGCTGTGCAGATCCTGGGATTTCACCAGAAGTGAAGTGGAGCCGCAGCCCCTGCTTCCATGCAGAGTCCTGGGACCTGTATAGAAGGGGGCTAGGCAGCAAACTCCAGCACATGGGGCTTCCCCCAGTGCTGCGCAAGTGCCAGGAGCTGCACATGCGTTGCGCTGAGCCCCCGTGATAAAGGTGGGCCAGGCAGGCTGCATTCCTTCCCCTGCATGTAGCGCTGGCTAGAGCTGCATGCCACCAGGTGGCAGCACTTGCACTGGGCACAAGCATCCACTGCCTGCAGGTACTCCTAATGCTGCTGGCAGAGGCTGTGTCATCAGAGGGTATGGGGGAGTCCCCACACCTCACCACAGTTCCTCACACTCCACAAGCCACACACCCACACCCTGTCCCCACAACCCCACCACACACACACACACCCACCCAACATACCCTATTGCCTCCACACCCCACCCCCCACACCCTAGCCTACACACATACACACCCCAACCACACCCCTGACACAAATATACAAGTGTAAAACTTTATTTTTGAGTTACTATGCAGTCACCTCTATATACACTACACAAATCATGACATTTTTTTGTAATATTAAAAAATATTATAGTAGGTATTTGACTTTTACTGTATGATTTGGTTTATTTCTGGTTCCAGGATGACAACCCTTCCATCCCAAAAGGAGTATTTCCGGGGCGGGGGTAGGGGGAAGGACTTCTGTTGGTAAAGGTCAGGGATTAGCGTTGGGGCTTCTGGTCCCAAGATGGCAACCAGGGGGTGGGGCAACTGTCAAGGGGCCCTCGACAGCTCACCAAAACGCCTTAAGCAGCCCTCCAGCTGAAATAATTGCCTGCCCCGAGTTAAAATAATACAAGGATTGTAAACTACACGTTTGGGTCCCAACTTGGTGATGGTGGTTAATGCTTTGAAGCTGGACCTACATTTCTTTGGGTCGGGGGAATGGGTAAGAGGTCAAGTTGTCAGCTTTTTCTGTGGATGCCTGATGTGTCTAGCAGTGCATTAATGACCCTGTAATGCTCTGGAGAGTGCTCTGAAAGCATAACTCTTTCATTCTTCAGATATGTTCTTAGGTTCGTCCCCCTCCCCTCATGTCAGTATAAAATCATATATCATCCATGCCTCAAAAAATGCTCTTTTACTATCCTTCAATGAAATAGCAATTTAAAATTTGGTGCATGACTTCTCTGAGCCACTGTATTTCCCTGACTCTTTATGGACACAAGCCCCCCAGCTCCTCACTACCTGAGCATCACTTCGTGCTACTGCGCACTTCTGGATCCATGCCGCTACACGCTTTTGGCACTGCTGACCAGCTAGAGTAGTGGCACAGAGCCAGTGCCATGTGGCTGTATGAAGCCACACACTTTCATGCCGTTGCCCAGCAACATGGAGTTCTGGCCAGTCAGCAGTGCTGGGGTGTGTGGCAGCGCAGAGCCAAGGGTATTCAATTCCTGTAGCCCACCAGAGTACCGGTGCACCAGATGCAGCAGTTCTGCAGACTAGATCCAGCCTGCAGGCCATATGTTTGACATCTCTGGTTTAATAAACTTAACCCAAGGCTTGGGGTAAATTATAGGCACATATAAATGTCTTTGATAGCTCAGTGAGAGTTGTTTCTGTATATTCATTAACATTCCAGTAAATAGCAAAAGTGTTGCGATTGTTAATTGTGCTTCTTGCTTTCTGCTTTGCAGCTCAGAAATCTTGCTTTTAAAAAGATTCCTCAGAAATCCTCCCATGGAGGCTGTCTATCTCAGCATGAGCAAACGTTGTACAGTCAAATGCAGAAAGATTCTCAGGAAGAAAATTGGCAAGAGTGGAGACAAAAAGATGAACAGGTATTGCTTGCTACTGTGAATTATTTTACTTTACTCTTTTGTGGAGTAATACAAACTTCACTTATACATATCTGATAAATGGCTGTGGCTGGAAGAATGCAGTTGCTCATCTCTTATTATTTTTGCATAAATAAATCCCCAATGCTGCTCAAACTTCATAATTTAGTCTGATATGTTAAAATGTTTCCCAGTAGAGAAAAATCCCAAGAAGCATCTTTACCACCATTCTGAATATGAAAAGTACAGATTTAATTCCATTTCTTCCTTTTAATGCTTTGATATGCCAAGATTGATCTCTGCTATTTTCAGAAGAGCAAGTTACTAAACGGTCACAGTGCCACCAGGACTGCCTCATCTTTCAGTGTAAGATATTGGTTTATCATATACATGTTTAAAGCGTCTCCTCCGACACCCCTTTGGCTAATATATTTATCAAGAATAATTTCTCTCTAGATCCCAGGTTCACTGACACTAAAAATAGAAGTAAGCTATTGTAATGTTTTGCCACAGCTCCTCTTGGTAGAGCTAGCCAAGGCAGAAGATAGCTAAAATAATTGGACCTTTCTTGCCTTGACATAAGACTGTTAAACAAATTATGTAATTTATCTTTTTAAGGGAAGTAATAATTCACTTCCCAGTGATATAAGTAGGAGGAATATTCACAATTAAAATGAACTTTTCTTTGTTAATTGATTTCAGTAGTTCAGTGTTTTAGTTAAATATGGTCAATAAAAACACATGTGCTTCTCTCATTCCTTTGTACTGGAGCTTTGGCAGAGAGCGGGGAATTGCAGGGGAGCCAGGAAGGGAGGAAGGAGTGGCACCAAGACCTGGAGTGAGGCGTCAGGGGGATTAGCAGCTCCCCCTTCACTCAGGGGCTGGGGAGGAGTGCCAAGTGGGACAGGGAAAAAGCTGTTGCCCCTTGCCCCCAGGTATGGAATCCATACCCCTCAGCCCCGCTGGGGGGTGTGTGTGTGCATGTGTGTGCCTGGAGGGCAGCTGGGAGTGGGGCATACACCCCCCGGTTCTTGTCCCAGGGGCAGGGCCTGTATCTGGGTCAGAGCCTGAGGGGACCTGCCTCCTGCCTGCTCCCATGCACATATGCACGCACACACAGACACATGCTTCCCTGCCCCTTCCTTCCTCCCACTGCTGCATGCATAAGCAACATATCTCCTTCTCCTCCTCCTCCCTCCCCAGCAGCAGTGGGGTGGGCATGGGTTGACAGCACAGCAGGGCTGGTGTGGGGATGGGAGCAGGGGGCTCTTTGAGGGCTGGTAGGCAATGGCAGCAGGCTGCAGGGAGCAAGCAGCTGCCAGGGCAGCATGGTGCAGGGGCAGAGCTGCTGGTGCCTGAGTGCTGCTGCTGCTGCTGCTTCCCCCTGCACTGCTCCCAGCCTAGGGCTTTTATGGGCCCCTGTCCAGCCAGCACTGTTGCAGCACCTATCCTCAGGGCTGCTGCAGGTCTCCTGCTGCCTATGCTCTGTCTTCAGTGCTGCTACGTGCAAACACATGCCACAGGATTGGGAGGGTGGAGGGGAGGGGAAGGTGCCCAGAGCCCAGGACAGAGCAGCACCTACAGCAGAAGCTGTGGGGGCTGGAGGGTGGGCTGAGTCTCTTCCCGACCTGGGTCACTCACCGCACTACACGCCTTAGCCCCCACTGCACTCTATCACTGGCTGCAGTCCTGTGAGCCAGAGCTGCTGTTGCTGCAGCTGGTGCCTTCTGCAGGGTGGAGGGAGAACAGTGGGGAGTGCCAGCTGTGGCCCCTTTTTTACTGTCTGCCCTGAGGTGCATGTGCAACCGCTGCCACCACGGAGCTGAGCCAGGGCTCCAGACCCCAGTGTGCCAGTTGCAGCCTCCTGGCTGCCTGCCCATCCAGCCTGGGCTCTGGGCAGTTGCTGCCTGCCATGGAGCCTGAGCTGCTTGCAGCAGGGCTTTCAGCCTCCCCTTCATGTGCTCTGAGCAGTCCGCACTCCATGGCTGGTGGCAGCTGCCCACAGTCCAGGCCAGCTGTAGCATGCTGAGCAAAATGGCCTCACGTGCTACGCTCTCGCACGCATGCCGAGGGTTGCTGACCCCTGATTTAAATGATTCCACCCTTTTGTTGTAGGATAGTGGCAAGCACGTTGTATTCATGTAGAATTGGTAACATCACAGTTTGCTATGGATTATGCCTTGTGAGGTGCCCTAGTATCTGAGGGTCACTATTGACTGGTAACTCATCTTGGTTGTTGTATACCTCTGCTGTGTCCTTGGTGCTTCTAGAAAGTATTGCTTTTGAGCATGCTTCACCCATTCACTCAGGCTAAATCAAGAAATGAGGGGGTATGTCAGAACTCTTTAGCACCTTGTGTACCAGACCCAGAAATGAGTTGAATGGGGTGTGCTGGAGTCATGGTGCAGAAAAGTCTGGGAAGATTTGCACAACATTCAGGGAATAGGTTTGAGTTTGAAACTTTTATTTGAGAATACTATATGACTTTGTTAACAGGTACCTGAACTCTTTTGCCATGTAGATGGATGTATTCAACTTCAGACTCATCGAAGAAGGTTGTTCTGTAGCTTTTCCTTGAGCAGGAAGAATTCAGAACGCTGTGCTGGCAGATGGTCAACCACTAAGTGAAAACAGCATTTGGAGCCTAGATTAGTGAGGGTTGTTTAATGCTTTTGAGGTTAGCAATGTGATTCTTGCATTGTCAGGTTCTCATCCCTTCTGTGCTTTTTGATGAGATGCATTTTGATTGTCTAGCAGTGTATTAGTGACCCTGCAGTATTTTAGAGACTTTAATGAAACTTAAGCTGTAGAACAATGTTTTTTTCTGGTTAGGCTCATTTTTTCCTCTTTCCAATAGGTAGGAAGAATTCAACATTTGTATCTTAAATGTCTGCTCTATTAAATATTAATTATAAAAGAGGATAAACACAGCACTCTGTAAGTAGTTATTGGACATCCTTATGGTTAGATCATCCTTAACTTAGCTGTCATACACTTGATTCTTGGTTTATTTTAACCCATAGAATATGTAGGGCACATAACTTGTGTAGAAGTTATCTTGTGTTTTCCTTTCACTTTTAAAAAGTCACTTTGTAACTGATATTGCTCTGACGTATACTATTCCTAACAATGTAGTCATGTGAAGACAATTTTTACTAATTGATAATATAGAATAGCTCAACTAAATTGGAGGTCATTGCAGTTTTTGAGATCCGAAGTGTGGACTGTTTGTAGTAGAGCTTTGAGCGTGCTGTAAGTCTAAACAATCTTCTAGACAGGGGTGGGGTGGGGTTGGCACTGTTTTCTGGTAGGTGGGGCTGGGGTCCAGAATAACCCATCTCGGACTCAGGATGTGTAGACACTAGGACCTGGTCACCTCAGCTGATTCTCTCTGCCAGTGGGCTGCAGTACAGTGTAGATACAGCTCCTTCACTGAAGCCCCAGGCACCCAACCCTGGCTTAGTATAGGGAGAGCTCCCCTTCTACAGGTCCTGAGTGTCTGGCTTGGGCATAGCACAAACAGAGCCTCTGCAGGCTGGGTCCAAAGTCTTTGCAGGCTGTAGGTTGCTAGCCCTGTTCTAGGTTCGTAGCAGATCAGTGTTATGAAGGGACACAGTTATAATGATGTGTTTTGGTTAAAATTAACTGGTGAAATTGTTAATAGTCTTAAAATTGTTCTCATTAGCTACAGAGGTATTACGCATAAAATAAAGCAGTTAACTTCTCTGCTACCCCAAGCAGGTTGGCACAGCTTGTTTTTTAAAGCTTTTGGGCTTGAAGTGAAATTCTAATTACACCTAAAAGCAATAGTCAGTGGGGCTTAGACTCCAGAGTGACTAAAACACATTGGAAACTTTCCTGAGAAACCTTGGTTCCCCTTTAAATGAAAACTTAATTCAGGAACTGGTGGGTCTCCAGGAAAGTGTTGGCACTGTGTCACTATCTTAATTTGATTCCTGAAGATACATTTGAGTATTGCTGTAATTTGGGTGGGTATTCTTAACAAGTGTTGGCATACTTTGTATTCTCTGTATGATATATTTTATCAAACAACTTTCTATCTTTAAAATTATTGATTGCTTTTGGTTTTTTTTTTCTTTCCCCCTTACTCAGTTTTAGTGGTTGCCAGTAATGCCTGCCAGTGCTTTAATGCAGGGCTATTCAACTTCTAAGCTTCCAGGAGCCACATGCCACAGGAGCTGCATGAGCTGTGTGAGCTGCACCAGGTGCACCAAGTAGACACTTTCCCCACACCCACTGCTACACTGGGCATGATTTCCCCTCTCCTTCCCAACACTACACACCTACGTGGGAGCTCCCACAGAATGGGTACAATCCTTGTCAGTCTCTCCCCCCCTCCCCCCACCCAGTTGTGGCCACATTTTCACCATTGGCTCCCACCCACCAATCTTTGATCTATGTTATGATGATCACTTTGGGAGTGATCATAGTAATGTACTTGCACAAGTTCTGTTATTGATTGATTATTCTTATGGCATATTTCCAATATACAACTCTTAATAGATTTACCAGACTTTAAGGCTTAGATCCCATAAAGAACTTAGGCTCTTAAAAGATAGATGCTGCAATTCCTGAGTCTTAGACATTTGGCTCCCAGATTGAAATTCAGAATCTTGTGCTAGATGCCTTGTTCCCCTTACAAAAACTTGGGGAGAGTACAGGTATGTTTGCAGTGCTCAATATAGCACTCTGTAAAGATACTTTGGGTTAGTTGTGAAACTTCTGTCTAGTGTGCTGAAATTTATTTGGCACCAGGCAGTGCCACGCAGAGAGAAACCCTGCACTAGTTCTGGAACCAGAAGCAAAAAGTCACACTAATATAGTGTTGCGCTCCAGACTAACCAGTCCTGCTGAGAAGGCTTTACTGTCTTTAGGTCCAGAGCTATCATGTGCATGCCTTGTACCCTGTATACATACCCTTAGGTGCCCCAGAATGGGACCCAAAACAGCCAGCATGTGAGCAGGGTCAGAATCCAAGACTCCTGCCTTCTACAAGAGTGTCTTAACCCCCAAGCTCTCATGTTGTTGGCCCAACGATGTTTTGAATATTTGTTGAATGCTGGCATGGAAGGATGGAGAGTACCCTCCCCTACAAGCCTAGCCTCCTAGCTAGTGGCTAGGGAACTCTCTCAGAACTGGGAATTGTACTTTTGAACTCTTTCTGGTTCAGAGAGGCATTGAATTCAACTCTCTTGCTTCCTGAGCCACTAGACCACTCCTAGCCATTAGATCACAGTATAAAAAATGGACAAAGAACAGCGAAGACTCCCTATGCCTGAAGAAGGGTGCTTGTGCCCGAAAGCTTGCAAATAACGTTTTTCCAACTACTCAGTTGGTCTAATAAAAGATATCACATTTACCCAGAGGAGTTTGCCTGCCACTATAAAAAATGAACATTCTTCTGCAACTGCCGTCAATGTTCCCCCTAAGGTTTAGCGATCCGTGAGCAATCTTAGCTGGGAGTGCATGGGTATCTGTGTGCCCGCCCCTCCCGACTCCCGCAGCAATTTGTGGCCGGGTTGGGGCTGGTGGTGAGCAGCCGGACGCGAAGCTGGTGGGTGTGGATTGGCGCCCCCTTGCTATTGCACGGGGCTTTCCGCCCCCCCCATGGCCCCCAACCACCCCCCCAAGTCAGTATGCCACTGCATGCACAGCACTGAAGTTATTGCACAGCATGATTTTTTATTTACGTGGCCACGCATGAGCACAGCTTAGGGAGAGCACTGACTGCTATGGCTGCAAACAGTGGAAGATGATCCTGTTGGCAAGTATTAAGATGTTCAGAGCAAGCATATGAGATTTGTTTACTTAGAGTAGTTAAGCCTTCCTGACTGCATTTAGGCAGGCACCAGATCTCAAGCTGTACAGACTGGGCTAATTCAATGCATGCAGAGAAGAGAACTCAAGGCACTTAGGAAGACAAGAGTTCAGGTGCTTCAGGAATTACTCAGCAGTTGAGTGGGGGCTTTTGGGTTGCTATTTCAGGCTTAGGCACTTTGGTTCTGCCTAGTTCCTGATTTTGGCACCTGGGTGCTTTACATATCCTGGTTTTAAGGCTCTTAAAAATGTTGGTGACACAAACTGCAAAAGACTTGTCACCACTTTAGGGGCCACTAGAATAATTGTTATGGTTAATTCTGAATTTTCGTAATCAAGTTTCAGTAACGCTGTAGCCCCAATAAATATTTGAGTTCCATTTTGCTAAATTTTATACAAATACTGTGGCAACAGTCCTTGTCCTGAGAAATTTACAGTATTTAAGTTCATATGTATAATATTAATAAGTCTTTGTAAGTGTTGCCTATTGTAATTTTCATGTTTTCCTTCCTCCTCTTTTCTCATTGCTTTTGCATACAATTTTCCAGGGCAGTAGGGGTGACACGCTTTTTGCAAACGTCATAGAATTAATAGAAAGTTAGGATTGAAAGGGACCTCAGGAAGGTCATCTAGTCCAACCCTCTGCTCAAAGCAGGACCATCCCTAACTAGATCATTCCAGCCAGGGCTTTGTTGAGCTGGGCCTTAAAAACCTCCAGGTATGGGGATTGCACCACCTCTGTAGCTAACTTGTTTCAGTGCTTCACCATTCCCCTCACAAGAGAGTTTTACTAATATCCTATCTAAATTTCCCTTACTGCAACTTGAGACCACTGCTTCTTGTTCCGTCATCTGCTACTGCTGAGAACAGTCCATCTCCATCCTCTTTCAAACCCTCCTTCAGGTATTTGAATGCTGCTGTTAAATCCCCCCTCAGTCTTTTCTTCTCCAGACTAAATAAACCCCGTTCCCTCAGCCTCTCTTCACAACTCACGTGCCCCATCCCCCTAAACATTTTTGTTGCCTTCCACTAGACTCTCTCCAGCTTGTCCACATCCTTTCTGTAGTGGGAGGCACTAGCACTGGACACAGTGCAAAATAGGGGGGAATAATCACTTCCCTTGATCTGCTGGCAAAGCTCCTACTCATACAGCCCAGTATGCTGTTGGCCATCTTGGCAACAGGGGCACACTGTTGACTCATATCCACATGGATGATTGTTGCCACCTTAAGTCGGAGGTGGGGGGATGTTCCCCACCCCCAGCAACCAGTCAGCGACCAGGGGGGTGGGAGGGGTTCCCCTGCGGCCAATTTTGCCAACTGGGAAGCAGCTGCAGTGCTGCCAGAAGTGGCCATGGCACTTCATCCAGCGTTCACAGGGAGGGCACCAGTGCTCCCATGTGCCCTTCCCCTGCCCGCCCATCGCCTGAGCAGAGAGCTTGGCCTGTCGGAATGCACCAGTGCTCTCAGGGGGTGCATGTGTGCCCCCATGCACCCTCTGCGTTGCCACTATATATCCATCTTATTGTCTACTGTAACCCCCAGGTCCTTTTTCTGCAGAACTGCTGCTTAGCCAATTAGTCCCAAGCCTGTAGCGGTGCATGGGATTATTCTGTCCTAAATGCAGGACTGTGCTTTTCTTTGTTGGACCTCATGAGATTTCTTTTGGCCCAATCCTCCAATTTGTCTACGTCTCTCTGAATCCTAATCCTACCCTACAGCGTATCTTCTACTCCCCCCAGGTTGGTGTCATCTGTGAACTTGCTAAGGGTGCACTCCATCCCATCTTCCAGATCGTTAATGGCATCTTTCTTTCTGTCGCTTCAATTTAGTATGCACTTCAAACTGCTAGTCATAGAATAAATTAAATGTTTCAGATATTAGCACACTCACACCTGTATGGAATTTCCCCTGTGTCCATGCCTCCTGGATCTATACAGTTACGTTAAAGGACTTTACTTAGTCATCAACTTGGTTTTATTCAAGTTAAGGATATTATTCAGTCTTCCTTCATTTAAAACTCGTTTGGGGGGTTTTGCCTGATGAAGGGTCTGCTACCAAAATGTCAAGGCTTGTAGAACATCTTATAAACCATGTGTGTTAGGCAATACACAACTCTTAAAAACATGTTAGTTCTTAAGGTCACAGTTTCCAGAGGCAGGAAAGTTATCCCTAAATTGTAAATAACTTGAACAGCCTGAATGAATGACTGAAAAGACCTAAATTGCAATTTGAAGAACAGAGGAAAAATGGCAGATTAGAGAAGAGATAAGAATGAACCAACAAAGGTAGCAACAGTCTAGGGGCATGATTTTGATGATGACTGGGACTTCTGTTTTCCAGCTCATTTGGCCAGTGACAGCAGTGATAATGTAAAGTAGTGCTACATCATGCGATGTTTTAATTAAAATAATCACGTGTGTGTGCATCTTGTATATTACTGCTCTGTGTAGGTCCTGACTAGCAAGGACTTCCATTTGTTCTACAGAAACCCTGGTTCTGGAGGAATCTTTACCTTCCAGCTCACTTGTGCTATATTTCTTGTTATCGGTTTGTCCTTAAAGCAACAGCACAGGTTAGATCACCTTTCCTATCCTACAGCTTCTCTCCCCTGAGCACAGAAGAGTTGAGGAGATTTTTTTTCCCCTCTTTCTCACCTCAAAGACGTGTCATATTTTATGCTTACAGCTGCCTCTAAGCATTTGCATGCTGAACTTCAAGACAAATATAATTAAACATATGTGAATTTGTTTTTAATTGTATTGACTAAACAATGCATGTTTTTTACACACACATGTGACACTGTCATCACTGATATATTTGATCGCTTATTACCCAAAGCCTTGTATTTAGTTAATCATGCACTGCATCATAACAGTGTTCTGACAGCAGCTGTAAGGCGCACAGGCGAAAAGTAGATATGGATGGCCATTTTGGCTCTTTAAAAAACAACAACAACAAAAAAACTGTTACCATGTCCTGTCTTTATTTTGTTCAGCTGACATCAGAAATGTTTGAAGCAGATCTTGAAAAGGCATTACTGTTAAGCAAACTGGAATATGAAGAGCACAAAAAGGTATTTGCTAACTTCACCCCAGTTTTAAAACTGTACAAGTTCTTGCCTTCTATTCAGTTCCAAATAAAAAACCCTAATGGTTTAGTTTCTGCAAAATTTCTTATAAATTATCTCTGTACTTTCTTAATTCTGAAGGGTATAGGAGTTGAGAAACACTGGAGATTTCAAGTAATCATAAGTTGCTGTGTTACAGTTTGACCACTTTAAAGATGACTGCAAAAGGGGAAAACATTGTTTGTACATCTTTTGAATCTTCTGGGTTTTTTAATTGTCTAAATATAAATGGGAATGGAGGGACATGGTTTGTGAGGTTTTTGAGAAAGATGGAGTTTTTCTGTAAAGGGCTCCTTAGAAGCAGTAAACATTTAAAAGCCTTAATTTGTAAGTGGTAAGCCTACTGTACCTTCAGCATTCTTTGCCCAGCTTTTAAAGGTATTTTCAATTGGAGATGTAAAACGTTTTGAACAAGATAATTTTAATCTTCCCTTTCTAACTGGTAATCGGGCAGTAACTGCTGTAATAAAATCTGAATTTCTGTTTGAACCTCTATCACCAACTTCATAACATCACAAAAAAAAACAAAAAAAAGTGTGTGCACATTTATTATGAGTTTAGTGTTAAGCTGCCTTGTACTTCTGTTGGACAAACTGCAGAACTTTGTAAAGATTTTTGCTTTGAGGGAATCTCGACACTTAAGCTTAAGCTTTTAAAACTAAGCTTTTAACATCTATGACTTCCCTGCACTAAAATCCAGATTTTAAAAAGGAAAATAAGGCTTTTCTTCAAGTGCAGAAAAATGGCATTTGCAAGATTTTGGAGAAGCCATAGGAAAATCCTGAATATCTTATTAAAATTATCTAATCACTGTTAGCATTTTTAGGTTTATTAAATAATATAGAACATCATAGTCTACTTTTTCTGTTTCCCTGTTCCCCATCATAGCCTGTTCTGCTTCTTGATTTTGGTATAAGAATACTAATTTTAGAGGAGGGGTAAGGTAGAGGGAAAAACATCCCATTCAAATCCCAAGGCTGCTTTTTGTTTGTTTGTTTCATTACTTACATTATAACTCTAAAAAAAAAATCTGAGTTTTGAAAAATCTCTAAAACTAGTTGTCAAATTTTGATTAAATTATTATATCAGTTAGTAGAACATGATTACAAAATGTTGATCTGTTGATAGATGAATGACTAGCCATGTACTGCAAATAAAAGTCAAGAAAGAGCAGGCACCTGGGTTTTTCTATTTGTTTCTTTGATAGCTTTGTATTATAATGCCTTTTAACTGTATTATCCCAGATGACTGTTATCTGGGATTGTTAATTTACAGTTCATTGGTACTGTAAGGGCATAGAGAGAAGTAACAAATGTATCAGTGTCAAGTGGTAGCTGTTCTGATGCAACTGTTACATGATTCTGCAGTGACAGAAATGTAGCAAGATCACTTTTTAACTGTGCTACAATCAAAAGTTAAAATTAGTGATTGGACTACCTCATATTGCTACAGGATCATGGAGATAGATTCAGATGGTAACAATTCATGTGCATTCAAGGGAACAGCTCTCCCTCCTCCTTTTTTTGAAGCAGTTTAAACAGTTACTTTGTCCACATCTTTAATGAAAAGCTATATTCTGGTTTGAAGAAAAGAGTTGATTCTTTAGGCCAGGGGTTGGTAACTGTTTGTTGCTTTAGGTTAGAGCATGCAACCTAGCTCTTTGCACTGGGCTGCAAAATTATGTCCCCTGCAGTGAGGGTAAGCATAGGCACAAGAGAAACATGGAGTGCTGCAGAGGAGGGTGCTGCAGAGGAAATGGGCAGCCTGGTGCAGTTGCGTACCACCAGACCCTCTAAGCTGCCCCAGGATGGGTCATACCTTCCTAAGCAACATCCAACCTCTTTGCAGACTGAATCCAGCCCAAGGGCCATATGTTGCTGACCCCTACTTTAGACCAACACAAGAGTTCTTCCATCAGAGACATTGAATAATTGCTGGAGGTCCAAACTCACTTTTTAAAAATAGAAGCCTTTAGAGGAATTAAATATCCCATTGTGTTGTTCATTATAGTAATAGTCCTCAATCAGTAGTGTGTGGGTTTGATATGTGTGGACCACACAGATGTGGGCGGGGAGTCAACCATTCCCTCCTTCCATCTGTTTTTTGCAGTGCTAGCCTACTCTGTGTGTCCTGTTCTGGCACAGATAACAGAGCCATCTTAGTGCTACACTATAAATTAGCTCTATTGAGAATTGGAGCTCATTATCTTAGGCACAGCAGCATGTGAATGTGGCTATGCTACTTTCATTTCAGAGCTAATGTGTAGGACTAGGTCACGCTCCTGCAGGAAGCCTAGCAAAATAGCCCACAAGGAGGATGGGACATGTAGTTGTAGATGATTGTAGGACGGGTAGGTTGGGGGATCAGGAAGGCTAAGAACTGTTGCATTAAAATAAAGTAGTATAATCAGTGGGATTTTCTTCAAATTATTCAGGAATATGAAAATGCTGAAAATCCTTCACCGCCTTCAAAGTCTGTGAATAAGAAAGAGAAAAGAAAGAACCAACAAGGAAAAGACAAACCTCTCACAGTATCGCTGAAAGACTTTCAGTCCGATTCTAATATAGGTACGCATTTTTATGTTCGGTACAGTTTTTTACAAAATAACTTAATACCTGGAATTCAAATTATGTATAACGTTTTTTACGGCAAAGCACCTTATGTGATGAACAGGGATCCAGGTTTTCCGGTGGCTGCAGAAAAGTGTAGATTTTCACATTTAAAGGAGAAAAATGTGGGAAACTGTGTATTTCCCTTTGCAGGCTGGGTGCCTGCTGGCCAGGGCCATCCCTGGAGGGGCATGAATCGGGGGAACCAGCCCGGGCCCCACACTTTGGGGGGCCCCGCAGAGCTGGGCAGAGCAGTGGTGGTGCGGAGCCAGGTGGAGCAGTAGCCAATGGCAGTGGCAGCTTTGGGTCCAGGATCGGAGCAGGGCGGGGCCCTGCATGGGCTGATTTGTCCCGGGCCCTGCACACTGCTCAGATTGCCTCTGCTGCCGGCTTTGGGGGAAGATGCCTGGGCACCAGGGCTGCGGCAGGGCATGGGGCCTGAGGCAGTGCTCAGTGCCACTGGGAAGCCCCAGCTCCACACTATTGCCAGTGGGGCCTGCCCAGAGGTGCCTGCCCCTCCAGTGAGGGAAGGGGCAGTGGGGATCTGTATGTCCTGGCCAGCAGTGCTGGGGCTGTTGGCCATGCTTGCAGGGGCTGGGTGACTGGGAGATGCTGCCTGTGGTGAAGGGAAGCAGGGACAGAACCAGGGCTATGACCATGGCCAGGCCACCTGGTGCAACATGGGAGCCCCAGCCCAAGGCAGGGG